TTGCTGGTGTACTTCTTCTTCTTCTTCTTCTTCTTCTTCTTCTTCTTCTTCTATACCTCTCCTCTGGTCTTTATCTCTTTGCAAGTGCTTTCATTTCTTTCGCAATTGGGTGGCCTTGTCTTTCACTGTGAATTTGCACTTGGGAAGTGACCAGGATCGTAACAAGGAGATAGATACAAGCAACATACCAAGCAAGTGCAAGCACTTCGCCGAAAAATGGACAAAGGGAAAGAAGAGAGAGAAGAGAGAGAGAGACAAGAGAAGCACACATAGAGTTAAGAACCCCCCCCTGAGCGCATCATTCATAGAATATTCAATAAGCACCGCGAATGTAGGCGCATAACGCCGTAAAGCGCAACACGCCGTAACAGGAAAGCGCGACTGATGGACTACGCTACACGTGTTTCGGCCAGGCCGTCAAAACACCGGCCATCTTCAGGGGCTTGCGCTGGTTGTGATGGAATTGAAAGGTAAGATTGAACTACTTATACCGAATCAGAAAAAGGTAACACCGAAAAAGGGAAACTGGGACGAAAAGGGACCAGTACCAAAAATAGCCGGGCCAAAAACGTTCCAGGCCAGTCCATAACATCGGGACCAGATATCTCAGAGGTGGGAAAGGATAGAAAGAAAACGTAACCAGACTAGGAATCGAAACCCCAACCTATCCAGTTTGTAAAACAAGTAACCCATCAAGACCATGCACCACCAATTCGAATGTTGAAATTGTCGAGGGCTTTGTTGAAAAACCCGTCCTGAAAATCTCGTCGTTTAAGCTTCAATTTAAGCGTGAAAAGAAAGAACGCCTCAGCCGCAGCTAATGTGCCCATCTTATACGCTCGATGCAGATAGGAAGATATAACGAGCTTTTGCTTCCTACTAGAATACGAACGAAAATCCTGCAAGTTATGAAAAATTAACTCCTTACCTTCTAATATGCAATCCTGATTCTTGTGCAAAGCTTGACAGTAGACTTGACCCGGCTCACTCCCAACCAGAATCCTACAGCCTAGATACGACCATTGATCACAGGTACTTGTTTGCTCAAGAGTGAGATGCTTATCGTAACAGTTTGTAACAAAGTCTTGCACAATGTGTCCTGCCCTTGCTTTGGAGGCTGTTTTTTTTTTTTTTTTTTTTTTTTTTTTTTTTTATTTTTTTTTTTTTTTTTTTTTTGTGGAGGCTGTTTTTTTTTTTTTTTTTTTTTTTTTTTTTAAAACGGGCCCAATGCCCAAGGCTGATATTACCAATAAGAAGATTGAGGCCGGGGTCCTCACAGTCTGCCCGGAGTTACCGAACCGAACTTGCTGAGAACGGGCTCAGTGTCCCTCATATGGTGATGATAATGATTATGATGATGATAATGATACTACTGATGATGATGCTAATGATAATGAAAATTAGTGTAAAAAGAAGACTATGCTATATCAGCAATTCTGACCTCCTAATCTGAGAACAACTCCTAGCCCTCCCTATACAAGGACATTGTGATTCAGAGACAGTACCAACCTAACCAACGTCTGCCATGGCTGTTCTCTTCTCGCTCCCTTGCAGCCCCCCCCGGTTCACCAGTGGATTGCCTTCCTCCCTCGGCAAACCCCAGATCTCTCTACAAGGTCTCACACTCCTGCCATTTGCAGGTTAAAGGGCAACGCCCCAGCTCCGGCCAGCGTTGTTCTGGCGTCGGCAAACCAGGGGCTCAGAATAGAGCAACTCTGTAGACATCAGTCCAGGTTCAACCATCTCTGAAATCCTATATCCCTATTGCGGAAGAAGTCTAGATCCTGCCAAAAAATTCAGAACACGAGAAATCTTAATATAACATGATTGAGATGATGATACTAGATGATGATGATGATAAAAAATGTAGAAGACTATGCTATACCAGCACTTCTGACCTCCTAATCCTAGAACACCTCCTAGCCCTCCCTGTACCAAGACATTTCATCCCAAAGACAATACCCTTCTTACCAATGTCAACCGTAGCTGACCTGTTCTCGCCACCTAGACTATCCCTGGCCCCATAGGTTGTCAAGGCAGCCCCCCCGGTTCGCCATTGGATTGCCTTCCTCCCTCAGCAATCCCAGATCTCTCTACAAGGCCTCACACTCCTGCCAATTGCAGATTACAGGACAACGCCCTGGTTGTTGCTTCATAAATTTAACGAAAATTGAAACATCATCAATGACCGTACAACCGAAAACCAGTTGTGCATCGTTACCCAGACTGCGCAGGAAAGTGAATTCGTTATGTATACATAACAAGCAAGCTAATGACAGACTAGATGATTTTCCCATCGGAATACCTAAGTTATGTTTGACCACCCTACCCATGGTCATGGTGTAGGTACGTTCCAAATCCGATTCGTAGGAAATGAATCGAAGCGACAATGAAAATTTAACAGATCTACAACCTACTAAAGAACGAACGGTACACCAGAGAACAACATTCTTATTCCTGGTACGAACCAAACACATTTAAAAACCTCGTTCTTCAAAAATACTAATAGACGAGTGCGGCAATTGGCAAAACATTTTCTTAACGTCAAAACAACATGTGAGTAGATCATCATCGGGGCCTACACTTTTATTGACTTGTGACATAAAAGATGAGAGTAGTTGTGTACTACGTAGGTCAAAATGAGATGCGGAGGGAAGTCTCTTAAGAAATTCGTTGATACAAAGAGAGGAAATACGAGCAGCTTTCCTTGAAGGTTCATCCCAAGAGGGACAAATGGGCCTCCACTTATTCACATCTTTATGTTTGGTTATTACGTATGATCTTCCCAATTTCCTTGATGAAATCCACGGGGCCAAGGATTGAAGCTTCTATGTACAATAATCCAGTTTATATTGACATAAAATTTCAGTTTCTTCCTGATGTATGACCTGCAAGCCTGGATTTTCTATAAACAACTTATATAACCCCTTGGCATAGACATCTGAACAACAAACAAAAGTATGCCCAGTATTATGATCTAGTGGGCAGCATACAAGACCACAAAATCAGGCTTTCCGTATGTGAATATCTTCAATACTTATGTAATCTGCATTAGAACTTCCCCTGGAAAAACACTTGTCTATCTCAACTAAAGGAATGTGAGAATCAACACGAAAAAATTGTTGTAATGATCCGACGATTTGCTTACCAAGAGAACCTTTGTGTGTAGCATAATGTGGACTAAACTAGGTTACCAATGGTCTGGAGACCGGACGTCTCCCCCCCCCCGTCGTCCGGATTTCCGGACGACGCCTTTTTGGCACAAAAAAAAAAAAAAAAAAAAAAAAAAATGACAGTGTTGCGCATGGCCTAGAGACCCCCCACAAAAAAATTCAGATTTTTCTGAGCATTTGCTGATAGGGTGGTATTTGGGGGGGGAGGGGGGGGTAGAAGGGATTTTGATGGGGATAGGAGGGGTATAGATGGGGAATGAATCTTTAAAGATTTTTATTATTTATTCTACTGGCCCAGAACTTCCCCTGTAAAAACACTTGTCTATCTCAACTAAATGAATGTGAGAATCAACACGGAAAAATTGTTGTAATGATCCGACGATTTGCTTACCAATAGAACCTTTGTGTGTAGCATAATGTGGACTAATCTAGGTTACCAATGGTCAGGAGACCGGACGTCTCCCCCCCCATCGTCCAGATTTCCGGACGATGCCTTTTTGG